TTCGCTCTTCTCTCTCTACATCGAGATACACCGAAGAAGAAGAAAATGCACAAGAGAAAAACTGTTTCTCTTCTGCTTTAAGCCAACAAGAAGAAATCAAGAACAAATACCTTATTCTTCACTATATTCTTCTTCCTTCTGTCAGGCACGCAGAAACAATTAAGAGAGGGAGCATCTTACGAAAAACACACCTTTTTCTGTCTTCTCCTGCCCGCAAGCCTCAATAAGAATCCAAGGAGAAATCTCATTTCCTGTTTCGTGAACTGAAGGAATGGAAGCGGTGACCTGTTTCACGAACGTGACGGGAGGAGCGAGAGAGAAAGAGACGACGGGGCTTCAGTTTTCGCGATTGAGAGGGATAGAGCAAGGAGAAACTAATTAAAGAATGGGAAGAGCGCGGTTACGGGAGACGGGGGAAGTTTTTTTTTTTTTTTGTTTTATCTACCGGGCTCCACACTCAACAATGAGGTCGAAGATGGAGCTTAAAATGAAATCAGAGTTAGATGTGTTTTGGTGTTGGGTTGAGTTGAGAGGCAAGCAGCCGGCAGTGGATGATTTTGAGAAGGGTGATGAGGAGACCGAACACGATTAGAGTTTTTTTTAACTTTATCTTTTTATTTGTAAAAGTTTGAGTGAATATCTTATTTTTCTGTACATAATTCTTTTTGGTTGTTTCAATGCATTTCTTCAATTTATATGATTTACTTTTGTTTTAAATATTGTTATTTTAGTTTAATAAAAATTTGGATTGCTAAATTGTGCTGCAATTATATGATGTTATGATTGCATATGTGGAAATTGAAATGATGAAGAAGGATATTTTTTCTAGTTTTACAGATTTTTGGCGGCTTTCCAATAGCAATTTGACTGCTCTGACGTGTAATTCGGTGGTTAGAATATACCGGCGGTTATTCGAAAGACTATTGATCGACGAACGACCAATTCCGATAGTCTATAAACCAACGAACAATTGTGATTTTCCTCTTACGCTCCATTTCACCGATGCCTTAGGCCATCCAATTATACCAATAGCTGAGCCGACGACGTATCGACACATTAACAATGGTCACCCTCTTTCTAGTTCGACGTTTTTTGAGTCGTCGGTTATGATAACTGACAGAGACCGCAACTTATAAATGATTTGCTTTTAATTAAACATCTACATTTATTTTTGTCTATTTTTGGTTTATTTGTATGATTTCCTTTAATCAAGATATTTGCTTTTAATCAAACATCTACATTTATTGATTTCCTTTAATCAAACTTTGTAAGCTTTTAATCAAACATCTACATCTTCATTTAATCAAACATCTACACTTACAAAAAATAGTGATAGCGGGACAAAACTTTTAGTCAAACATCTACATATGTTCGATAGGTATTTTTTGTTTATTTTTATGATTTTTCTTTAAAAAGTTATGAGTTTTAAAGATTTTAAAGATTTTATGTATTTAATTAAATAAAAAAGTGATTTTTCTATTTATCCAGCACGGTGCCAACTGGATCATCGGAGTCGTCGAAGCTCCACGACGACTCCGATAGCGGTCCATTGAGTCATCGCCTTGGACCATGTGCTTTAACTAAGGACTTGGGTCATGGGCTAAGTGTTTAGATTTTGATCATAAGATTAGGGTTTTGGCCTAAACCTAAGCTAAATGGGTCATAAATTCATTCTGTTAAATAATTAAATAATTAATTATTTAAGAGAATGAAAAATTGATCAAATTCTCATGAGTTGATAATTGTTGACCAAAGTTGACCAAGGATGACCAGAGCTGACCAGAGTTGACCAGGGTTAACCATATGGTGGTTTTGCCCCTTTTAGGTTTAAAAGGACAAATTAGGGTTTTGGTCTAAAATTTGGGTTTTGGAAGAGTTGAGAAAGCCACTAGTGAGGTTAGGAGTCAATTTGGGTGGATCACCTTCCTAAGATAAAATCCTAACATTTCCAAGCTTGCTTAAGTACCCTAGGGTATGTCTTGCCCTTACTGGCCAATTCAAGTATTCACTTAGTCAAAGCCCTAAACCCACTCAACCAAAGGGTTGAGGTTTGAGCTTATATAAGTGATATAGATTAACCTCTACAAAAGTCAGGTCAACAATAATTTGAAGGCTCTATTAATATGACGGTAGTGATAGTCGTTCATGCAGTCTATTTAAAATTCGACCCGAAGGTCGTGCTTGAAAATAAAAGTGAGAATTTTAAAGCCCTTAATATATTTTTCCTAAAATTTTCATTATCTTGAATATTTTAATAAGATTTTGTATCAAATTTAGAATTTTAAATTCTAAAGAGCCTATATTGCATTCATCATTCCAAGACAAACACTATAAAGAAACAATGAAATATATTTCAAGCATGCAAACATGCAATAGAAAACAGAAAAAAAAACCAAATCAAAATAATAAGAAAAAATCGATGTCACTGGGTCAGTAACATATCCCAGGAAAGAAAATGAGTGGTCAGACTTCGCATATACACACCAAGTCCTAAATTTATACATTAATATCAAATGAAAAACTATGATAGGAGACACGAGCATCAGCTCCTGTTCCCCCACCACGTGGTTCCTTCTCCAAAACGCTTCGAAACTTATGTTCGTACTTATTTCCACTATAAGGACTATCCTAATGACTCTAAAAGTACATCAGCGACATAATGTACTTTAGATTTGAAGCAATCAAGGGACGTATTTTAAATTTCATGGATCTTTAGCACAGTCATATTATTTGTTGCTGGTGATACAGAAACTCACCTTGCTTGCCAAGGCATCCTCGCGGGCAATACTAATTGCACCTAAATAATAAAACTAGTGAGAGAGAGAGAGAGAGAGAGAAATACACAATAATAAATAGTAAATGATCCCTCTATTTACAGAGAAAAATGTACAATACAACAAAATATATTTCTGCTCCTACTTTAAAGGCGGAGTTATATGATATTTTAGGTATTTTACATGTTTATGTTCGCGACTCGCCGATCTTGTATGGCAAGACATCTTCGTTCGGTTGCTTTGAATTGAGGATGCAAATCGGCTTTTGATGGTCTTCAGGTTGGCGAGTCTTAACTTGATCGACTTGCTTTGTTGGAGAGCTCTGCTAGTCTGGTTGCCAACCATTGATCGTTGGATAAAATTTTTTTGTTGGCTAAATAAAGCAAGACTATCTAGCAAAAGGTAAATCAATTTATTATTAAAAAAAAGTAACAGTATCTGTTTCTTAGAAAATTGTTCTCGGAATTATTATTAAAAAGATGGAAAGTTAAGATCTAATGAACTAAACAAAACCAAATGATTTGAAAAAAAAATTATAAAAATAATAATAAACACTAGTAATTTAAAGCAATGGTTCATTAGTATTGGAAAAACTTACTTTTCAGAATATAAATTTACACCGCATTGCTAATATTTATCATCATTTTGTTAAAAAGAAAAAATGAGAGAGAGAGAATTAATAACGTCCAGTGATGGACGCAACCAGGCTGCCTTTCCGAATCGCATGTTGCTGTTTTCTGAGCGGGGCTGATGGCTCCATTGTCCTCACTCAAAAGATTGCCACTTGTTTCATTCCCCGACTGTTCAACGTGGACGACGACCCTTCAACTTTAAATGGTATGATCTGACGTGGTGAAAGATAGATTAGCCGTTTTGATTTTTCTTCAAATTGGAGGCGGCTTGGTCCTCGTGAAAGCAAGCACGTTTCATAGATATAACTTTAAATGGCGGCTCGGTCCTCTCCCTTTTTTTTGCTTTCCCGTCCATCTAGAAGTTTGACAGTTGAGTATTGCTATTAAATATAATATTTTCCAATTTTATACTTTGATGATAGTTTTTAAGACACTTATGAATTGGAGTAACGGGACAACTATTCAAAAGTTGATAAATATCTCAATTTGCTCTCTTTCGCTCTCTCTTTAAGTACATGCATGCATACATATATAAAAGGAGTATTTACGTACATACCACTCAATTATTATGTTTTTACATATCTAACACCTACAATTTATTTTCCTACATTTGTACCATCTTAATCTTTCAAATCACACCAAGAATGTAACTATTCCGAACTTTAAAAAGGCGAAATACAGCTTTTTCATTCATTGGTGAAGTATCATATATGTAAAACATTGAAGTTTAAGTGTTAGAAATGTAAAAACATAAGAATTGAGTGTTTTGAATGAAAATCTTTCGATGGGGCATCTATAAACTTACTACTCAATTCCTATCTATGTACGTAACTAACACCGAAACTTTATTGTTTACATTTATACTACCTTAATCATTCATATCCTATAAAAAATGCAACTATTTTAACTTTTAAAAAGTGAAATTTTCATTCATCCTCAGGTGGTATATGTGTAAAAATTGAATTAGGTGTTAAATACGCAAATACATAAGAATTGAGTGTTATGTATGTAAATCTTTCTATTTATTTATGCAACTATTCTTATACTTTTTTTTTTTTTTTGGCAAACAGCTTACTAAAGCGGAACTTCAAAAACAATATCGAAATATTTAAAAAAGGATTATAATATTAACAAAAATAAAAAAAAAAAATTATGGTATAGTGTTGATTTCTACAATTTTATTTTTATTTCAAATAAAAATTTATTGTATACTCCACAATAAAATACATCAGTAATTCTTATAATATTAAAAAATTTCAAAAGAAAATTTTTTTAATTAGAATATTTTAATTTAAGGCTTGGCCGTTGCAAACTCTAAATTGAATGCAGTTCCCCGTCTAATAATAATGTAATGTGAGTTATATTTAGATATTATGTAAATAATTATACAATTTTAAATTACCAAATATATAAAAAAAATTTCAAGGATATATGAAAATCCCTCAATATCTTAATTTTTTCCCAAATGGTAATACAACGATTCCCATACAGTAGAACCATAACCAGACGCAGCGCAGTGGCAGCATCACATAAGGATTTCCATCTGATACGGCATATACTTCATGTTTGATTTCTATTATAAATAGGGATCCAAACCTCCACTACCATGCACTCAGCCAAGCAAAGCATTATAACCCAAACTCCCCCCAAGTCCCAATTAAACCATAAAACCATGGCCTCCTCCATAAGCACGGCAGCATTCCTCCTCCTCTTAGTGGGAACTCTGTTGAGTCTCCAAACCGCTCCTGTCTCTGCAGCCGATCGCCTGAACGCAGGCCAGTCGCTGGGAGGGGGACAGTCACTCGCACAAGGCCCCTACATATTCATCATGCAGAAAGACTGCAACCTCGTCCTCTACGATAACAACAAAGCAGTCTGGGCGACGGGGACCAATGGAAAGGCCTCCGGCTGCTACGTCACGATGCAGCGTGATGGTAATCTCGTGATTTATAGCGGCACCAGGGTTATCTGGGCAAGCAACACCAATCGCCAAAACGGTAACTACTATCTCATCCTCCAGAGAGATCGCAACGTCGTCATCTACGACAACTCCAACAATGCTATCTGGGCAACTGGCACCAACGTTGGCAATGCTGCTATTGTCGTCATCCCGCATAGCAACGGCACGGCGGCTGCGTCTGGCGCGGCGCAGAACAAGGTCAAGGAACTATATCCTTGATTAAGGTCGGAGATACTCGAAGAAGTATATATAGTTAGTATATTCTAAATAAATTGGTGTCGGCAACCTGGTTGCTATTGTCGGGATAATTTATTTTTCCAACTTACTTTTCCAGTTAAGTGTGTCGGTGCTGTATGAATAAGCATTAGATATAGTGTTCATCTAAGTTTCCATATATGACATGAGAATGGCTTTGCATGGTTGTATTTCACGAGCTAATTGTTAAATAAAGTGTTGGTTTTTAAATAAATGAGTTGGGCAATAAGTTTGGATAAAAGAAAGCCGGGGCTAAATATAGTTTGAACAAAAATAATGTTTGAGCAAGTTGCTAGCAACCGTCAGGACCCACGTGAGTGAAGGATTAGAATCCCACCTCGATACCTCGAACATATACTGGTTACACCATAAACAACCCGAACAAATATAGTCAGTCAGATGTGACACTATAATCGTTTGGCAAAACCTACAAGTCATTCGGCCAAACAAAGGTGATCGCCATTTATGGAGAACTCTTTCACTTTTTTCTCTCTTCTAACTTCTATTTTCTAAAAAATAAAATGAGTCAAAATGCCCTCGAAACACCCCATATGCCTTAATGGGACAAATTTTTCTCTCCCATATTCTTCTCTCTTTTTCTTATATTCTCTTCCTCGGCCCTATCCCTTGGGAATGATGGAAAAGATTTGACTTCAACAAAAGTCTTTTTTTTTAATTATCTTAGTTTGTTTATAAAAACAATATGCAAGAATGTTATTCTATATTTTTATAATCTAAATGAGTTTAATATTTTTTGGATATCATTTTGGTTTTATAACATCCATAAATAGTTTATATTAAATTTATTTAAAGTAATTTCATTTATTTTAAAGTAATTCTCTGTTTTTTCTCCTATCCTTATAAAAAGTTATATAGTAATATTTAAATTTATTTATTTATTTATTGCACGAAAAGTGCATGGCGTTAGGCTGCGGCGGCCCGAAACAAGGATTTGATGATCGCTAAGAGGATATGCTCAACCATATAAAAAGATATTAAAGCCAATTATAATTTTACACGTGGTTTAAGCTATCTGAAAAGAAACTGCTATTTTTTACTACTGCTTTATGTGTACATCATTTCATTTTCATTAGAACTGAGGCTCAACTCATTTGTATCATATTTCTTTTGCACCGGCCGCCGGTGTCCAGGGTTATAAATGAAACAATGCATGGACTCAAGAATAATTTGAATTAAAACTCGAATATGCTCATTTAAATTATTAAATAAATAACTTTTAACCACTCTAAACTTAAATGAACTAAATATATACATAATCGAATTTGTTTATTTATGTTTACGAAGAAACTCACTCGTTGTTCTGTTGTAAAAAACGACGGCAATAAAGCGAAAAACAGATCTAGAAAATTACACCAGAAAAGCGACACAAGATTTACGTGGTTCGGCAAATTGTCTACGTCCACGGAGCTACAGAGGATTTTATTAGCTTTGAGGATTACACCGTCGACCACGTCGACTTACAAGAAAGAATTCTCTCTCTCTCCTCACCTTCTCTCTCTCTCTAAACCGAGAGTCACACCAAGAAGAAGAAAGACAACTTTTAAAGAAAAGCTTCCTTGTGATTCTTTTATTTCAGACTCACGACAAATTATAATCCAAGGAGAGAAAGTTGTTTAGAGAGTAATACACATCCCTGTAATCGTGAGCCCCTTTTAAAGCTTCACAGTATCCAGCTTGTTTTGATAATCCTTAATTTCAAGATTTCATAGAATCATGCTTTAATGACCCATATAAAGCCCATTAAGGCAAGCTATCAAATTCATTGTCTTTTTCTCTATAACAGGAGGGGCGGGAAATTAATCTGGTAAACTTAATTAATTAAGTTTTCCTTAATTCTTCCTGTCAATAGAAGGCAACTGCTTTAAGTAAAAATTGGGAATCATCAAGCTATGGCAGGGAATAAAATACATAAGGAAAAGAATTAAGAGCAGATAAATTAGAATCAATTTATCAAAGAACATGTCGTAATAGGAAGTGGACCGGGTCGCCACCTTCCTCAACAACTCTCCCACTTGGAGACTGAGACACTAACTGCACCATCCATTAGCTGCACTGCCTTTTTTCCTCAAACGTGATATCCTCCACCTCTGCAACTCAGAACCTCTGCTTCAAGCTAGAAGACCAACTGAAGTCGAACAAAACTTCAGTTTCTCAAGTGTGACGCACTATGTCAACATATCAGCAGGATTTTTGCTTCCACAAATTTTCTCAAGTAGTAATTGTTCGTCATCTAACAATGATCGAATAAAGTGATACCTAATCTGAATGTGCTTGGTCCTGTGATTTCAATGCTATACTAGTTAGTCTCGTGAATTGTCCGGGCCGCCTGTGATTTGTTGTTGATCCAGGCCCGGTCTAACTGCAGCTTAGGGGCGTGCACGTATAACCGGGCAGCGTTGGACTCTCATCTCAAATCTAGAGTACGGTAGTTTAATGAAATAGTTAACATATATTTAATTTACAAATAGATTTAATGCATAAAATATTGCTTACAAGTCTGCTCTTTTACTATGTATTTGGGAGTGCCCCACCAGCATGCTTGTAGGCACCCATTTCTTTGCAGTCGGAGCGTTGATATTGTTTGGCTTGCTCCCTCTTCCTTTGATAATTCAGAGAATTGCTAGCGCTGAGTGGTGAGCCAAACACATCCTCTCCGAGCAACAAAATCGACACTAAAGAAAGAAAAAATAATTATTGCACATAACTTTAAACAAAAATACAATCCTACTATTAAGTGCAATATATAAACTACTAAAATTAAAAATATGAAACTACAACGAGCGCAATCATCGTGTTTAGTTGCCACCATTGAGTTTGGAACCTTGAGCAGACTGTCAGTGGTAAACCGAAGGAAGGTGAGGATGACATTAAGCCATCATGCCCCTTATGCCCTGGGCGACACATGTGCTACAATGAGCGGGATAAAAGGTCGCGATCTCGCGAGGGTGAGCTAACTCCAAAACCCGTCCTTAGTCCGGATTTCAGGCTGCAACTCGCCTGCATGAAGCCGAAATCGCTAGCAATCTCCGGTCAGTCATACGGCGGAGAATTCGTTCCCAGGCCTTGTACACTCCGTCTGTCACACTGTAGGAGCTGGCCATGATTAGAGGGTGAAATTTAGGTCAGTCGCATAGGCTCGAGCTGATGAGTACTTATAACGTTGCCCGACACTTCTCGATCGACAGTAGCAGCAGGACCCTGCGTCGAAATGGATAGAGTTGTAGTTTTAGTGATGGTGCTAGTATGGTAGGAGTTTCAAATTTTTTACTTCTCTTTTTCATAAGTGCAACTTTAAAATTTTGTGATATAGCTAAGCTTTTCAAATGTCGATTAACAAATTGTGGTGACACACTCCTAAGAAAAATGTTGAGCTCTAAACATACGTCATTGCACTCATAGAAAAATAAATAGCATGGAAACTCTAATACAAAATATCAATATACTCTCATTTCACCGTGTTCATCAAAATCCTCAATAAAGCCACCTTAAAATTGGCGATCATATATAAATATTCTTTTTGGCGTGTTTACATGCATAACACACAATTCATAGCTATTTACATAAGTGATACCTAAACTTTCATATTTACCTGCATAATATTCCAATCTTTAATATCATAACAAGAATAAGACTTTTTTACTTTTTAAAAGTAAAATATACCTTGCCATACATAGATTTAAAACAAAGGTGTTATGTATGTAGTCATGAAAGTTTTGAAGTGAGATATGCAAATACACAAAAATTGTGCGCTAAATATATGTAAATTTTCCTTAACATTAAGTTGTTAAATAGGAAATACATAAGATTGAAGCTCTAAGCATGTAGCAATCATAGAAATAATGAAAAACATACAAAACCTAATAAAAAATTTGAATTTCTCAAAAACACATAATCATAAAATTCAAAAAAAACTAATGGTTCAAATTAGGCAAGAACTTAGAGGAATGATTGAATCAAGATTACATTCGATTTGACTGCAAGAAATGGAGAAACAGCGCACTTGCACTGTAGCAAATTGAAATGGGATCAAAGTAGGAGAACACAAGTTCTAGAGCTCAAGCACACATGGGAGATAGAAATTAGAAATTTTAGTAACGATTCTGATGGCATTCTAATGGTATTAAGCACATCAGTGCAACCGTTGGTTAACATCAAATAGTCGTCAGTTTGTAATTTAGAAAAACAAACGTGTTAAATTTCCGACAAATTTACTCAATTGATTTATAATTCAATACAAACTTACGAGTTAAACTGTCGGTTTAGCCTTAATAACCATTGAAAAAAGTTTTTCACAAGAAAACATTTACTTATTCTATAGGAGAGTCGTTAGAACGGATTCTGTCATTGTACAATTGCTAAGTTCAAAATTTATGACACAATATAGATCGTAGATTATAGCTATTTTCCTGTTGTAACAGTTCTATCATGGAAAAATTTTCAAAATGACATTTGAATATATATATATTAAATTGACACAAAATATTTGACAATGGACAAAGTCATCATGTCAGCGGTGAAATTGCAAAGCCATCTAGTCATCGGTGACATTGCCACATCAATGCCAAAGTCGTCGCCAACATAGCGACTTGTCAAAAAAAAAATCTGTAAAATTGTTATAAATTAAAAAAAATACGGAGTCAATCAGTTTGGATCGTTAGTTGATGAAGTAAAAATTATGAGCAATGAAATGATTTTCAATACAAAAATTTACGTACCTACCACACTCAATTCCTATGTATTTAGTTACCTCATAGCAATACTTCAATATTTACATACCGCTGATTGGGTAAATCTCTTTTTTTTTTTTTGTCGATTTAAAAAGTATAAATATTTAAAGATGTCATTTTAAAAATTTCACCTTTTTTCATGTACTTTCTAGGGATAAATATAATCACTTATTCTTGTCATGGAGTTTACTCTTTCCTTTCGTATTTACATTTTGATATGATGGATGCAACGTTTGTTGATATATTAATTTAAAATTCCTTTCTATTTATACTAAAGAGGGTAATGCAGATGTGAGACTTTT